TGCTCCCGATACAATACTTCAGTTACGCAACAAGCGGATCAGATAGGACTGACTCCGCTCTGAAGTCTCGAGTTGATAGTCCGAAGTCGTGACTGTGAATTGGCTGCTCTTGCATCAGATTACTGGTTGAAAACTACCGTTCGAAGCGTCTTCTTCTCAATTACCTCCTGGGACTCGCATGATCGCTTGTATGGTCACCGATATTTCTGTAGTTATCTTTGTCATTTTCACTTTAAGCGGTTTCAGTCGAAGAGACCCAACCACGACGGTTCTGTCTGTTTTGTTGACTACAGTGTTCGATTCCGTTCATCGCAGGTCCTTTTGACCGCCAATAGCGGATACTGCAAAAGCCATAGCTGTGATGAACGCTTGCTATCAGCACTCAAGCTCCGACACACTGTACTCTCTACCGGCCGTCTGGTTACATCGTTGACGGTGTCGGGTTTGTACTCAGAGGTCAGCTGGCTAACCCCGACCGCGCTGTCGATGTCGCTCTACCAATATTAATTTATGACGAACTACGGAATGTGGTGTCGCGGTTGAATGTGATCGCTTAATCTGCCTTTTCAGCTGTCAAGTTTGGAATGACAGAGGTGTTTTATAAGTGAATTCCTGACCACGAAGAAGTCTCCATCGAAATGAGTTGCACTCAACTTGCGGATCAAATACCGAAGGTGCTACCAGATGGCCAGGTTAAGAGCAACATCGTCAATCGTATGGTTTTTGTTCACAGGCTTTATGTTATCCTTATGAAACTTGAATCTACTGAAACTTTCGTATACCAAGCATCCGCCTGGTCAGCTCACCTTCGCGATGGTGACCGATTGACCCTGCGCAGGTTGAAGACTGTATGGATGGTCACCATTTCAAGCGAAGCACGTCGTCTTCACCTTCAATAAGTTAGTTCTTAGCCATAGGAACAACGTGGTGAGGATACCTTGGACCAAATTGAGATGGTTTGGGCAAATCCTTCGTCAATGCGGCTAATCTGGATCCGTTTGGAGTCATTGATAAGAAGGTCAACTCAAAATCTGGTTCTAGTAAGGCATGGAAATGATTTTTGGATCTCCCGTATTCGTGCTCCGCCGCTGGGTCGAACTCTGCACATCCGCGGTATCATCGAGAGTTGCTAGGTGAGGCCTTATTCCAGCCGTAACAACAACAGTCAAAAACAGGGTATCACGCTGAACGAACAAATTACCTCCACTGTACGTCAGTTCATCCCTTGAGACAAGGCGTGCACACGAAACTCGAAGAAAATTTGAAATAAATGTCAGCAAACAGCAAATGCTATTAAACCGAAGCGTTCTCTGTAAGTTAATAAACGCTCTAAGGACTCTTAGAACAACATCCTCTGGCCCGCTATGCAGCTAGTTAAAGGATACGTTCTGGGAAAAAAGATTAACAAAACACATTACTACTGCTTCAGAGACTTTAAAATATCTGGTACTGGGCTTCCTCGTCCCGTTGCGCCCTGAGGCTCTATACAAAGTCCACGTAGCAATTATATATGGGAGGAGACCAAAATGGTCGTTTTTGACTTCTCTGCCGTCGTCACCCAGCTATACTCAACCCCAGGTGGTGCACCATACAAGACTTAAACTCAAGACTTCTCGGATCTGTGCCCAACGCTCTAACCTATTGGGCTACGGTTTTGATCGGGAATATTAACACTGGTAGATGGACACTCACCGATCGATTATGAGATCCGCTCATCCCGTTCTAGAAGTGGGTTAAATCCTTTGAGAATGAAACATAACTTATTATGTAAGGTTTTTGAGACTGTTCTCCTCGCTAGCCGGTGGCCACTCATCCCACTCGAGCCCGCCAGCACCCGCGCAGTCTGGG